GATATCTGGGAATATGGTTTCATACAACAAGTTAAATTTTGCTTCTTCCTTCAACCACAGAATAATAATGGACTCAATTTGTTTCATATAATGCTTCCGGAGCTGATTCTTCACTCCAAAAGGATAGAAGTGGCTGAAGATCTGAACACAAGTCAATTTCTTGAGACCAACTTGTGAATGAAGCCAAATCCGTATTCTCATTTGTCATGATTTCCCAAGTTTTCCTTCATCTGAGAATCATCAATGTAGCAACATGCAATATCACAACTCTCTTTGTGATGAATGGATGGATCTCATAGGGTATGGATGGATTGATGTTTCTGTTTTTTTTAGGAATTAGAGTGAGGTTACAGATTCTTCTGCAAAGTTAATTTCTCTTTTAATTATTATGAGCACCAATGTGTTCTTTGCTCTGAGAGGCTAAAAATTAACAAGTTATTTTGATGGATTGGATCAAATCACTTATCCCATTTTATAGTGAAAAGAAATTCCCAGATGGGCCTCTTATTTTTCTTGACCTCCTTGTACTGTGTCCCATTCATACCTGCTCCATTTTTTGTTATAAATGTGTTTGATCTTACAGTTGTGAGACGAAATAATTGAATATATGTTCATCTCTATTTGACTCTTTGAACCTCTCTATCTCTGTCTTGCTCTCTTGCTGAAAACTGACAAATGTTGACCAAGAGAGCAGAAGGTCAAAGGAGGAATGGTTGAGTTGAAATTGGCAAGCATCATCAAATTACATCGTAAATCATCACCAGCCTAATGTTGGTTGATGAAAACAAAGCAGGAAGTATAACACTACATATCTGCTACATGTGGGAAGTAAAAGTTGTGAAGTCATTAAGAAGTCACCATTTCTTGTAATTCAACCTCAACTTGTTCAACCTCCGCTGTGATTATAACTGATCAAAACTGCATAATTTTGATTTGAGGATTCATGATGTAGAGCAGAGGAAAATTGAAATCATTTCATGTTGTTTTATCTTTTATCCAAATCCACGTGGTTGAAATGGAATACAAGAAAGAACTTAAGATTGGTGCTAAATAATAGAATCCATAATAAAAGCGATAATAAAAGCAATAATAAGAGTGACGATAAAAGCAATAATAAAAGGGATGATAAAAGTAGGACAGTTATGTGGGATACGAAAATATCAAGAGCAGCATTGTCCATGGAGTGCTGGAAACTGTGGGAATGTGTTGGCAACCGGAAAGTGGGCCATTTTATAGCCTGGATCGGTCCCCACACGTGGTGCAAAAGTGAGGTAGCTGTGATATGAAATGCACCTCACTTTTAAAAGCAAACAAATGTAAAAAGTCATCAAAAGGACTTTGAATGACAAAGAGAAGAGGTAAATTAATTGTGTTTTATTGAAGAAAGAAAACAAAAAGTACCAAAATATTGAAATCGATGAACAGTGCCATGTCGATCGACCTGGAATTGCCATTGAGTGAGGACATGCACCTTTGGTGCGCTAAATACAACTATGAACAAAGTTGTTATTTTTCAAAACTGTGATTGAAGCGGAGACTTACCGTTCTTGAAAAAGAAGAACGCAATCAGTGGAAACAAAAATACGAATGTTGCTTTGCAAACCTGGCTTTTTTACACAAAAAGTTTGAGATTCAACTAACAACAGCGCTCATAAAAGCAACTGGAGAACAAAAGCACTAACTAACAAAAGCTGGATGGCAAAAGCTATGTGGCAGCATGCAAAAGCCAATCCGGATATTCAGAGATGAACCCGACCAACGGAGAAGAGGAGAGACCTGAACTCATGCGAGTGGTCCATCTTTTTAGTATTTAGATTAACTGTTAGTCGCTTTCTCCTCCTCGTTTCAGAACTCGTCTACCGGCACACCTCGTGCTCTATCCGAACTGTTTTCCAACCCTATCAACCCTCGGCCCAACCAAAAGTCATCAATGGGATTCATAGCACTGCCAAACGTTATGGTGGTTGGCGTCGCACCAGGGGGGCGGAGTGACCATTCATTCTTCCCACGCAAGAATGAACTGCAGACGGGCATTAGCGGCTGGCCTGGTGGGCACCGACGCCCACGAGCCGCCTTATCTTTCAGAACCTGTCCCGGTACAGCCTGAACCTATAGTCCAGTGAGTGGAGTAGGACGAGGAAAGTTTTAGAATGGTTATGTTAACACTAACGAATTGTTTTGCCCTTATACAAATTTTTTTGGCCTTAACAAAGTATGCGAATCTTAACCGCCGTTGGAACGATGGGCATTGAGCCTCCAGCACCGACCGAGACCTCTGAACCAAACATCAAAGCCTCTAACACTGATTTTTGGTAATTATTACAATTCGGTTTGATAGCACGCCTGCCTTGATTGACCAATCTCCACAAACACCGGAGGCGCATGTTGAGACCGTCGCAGACTCTATCACGTTGGTGCAGTGGTCAGATGTTTGTATTTATGTTGTAGGCATATACTGATGCCATGTTGTTGGTTTTAATAGCAAGCAACCCACTATGGCTTCACAAGGCCCTTACCTCTAAGCAAAGCGTTTTGGTCAGTAGTTAAGATACAGTAATTTCGTGACAAAGCAGTCAGCAAAACTCCACCCTAGTCTGCAGTTACATTCATACAAATTACGGTTGATTGTCATGTCCTCTTAGCTAAAATTGTTGGAGCCTGAAGACCCAAAGTGTAACTACAGGTAGTCAATCCACTTTGTATTATCCCTGACATATTTCGTGACCATGTTACAAAGAAAGCCAAATTTACTCCTACTAACGTGCAATGCAATAACACGAAAATGGAGTATGTATTGTCCTCAGCAAAAAGCAGTTGGCGCTTAAAAAATTGCAGTTGCACTGGTATTATACTGTACAGTATAATACAAGTGCGTGTGATCCGTGCACAGTGCAAGTCTGGCTGTAACCTGCCTTGTGGTACATAATTACGGAATGCGAGACGTTCCAAAGTGACAATGCGAAATTTCAAAAAACGAAAATCACAATCCCCGGGTGCGAAATTCAAAAATCAAAGACAAAACTACAGAAAATACTCAAATACAGGGATAAAAACCCTGTACTGGAGTAAAAGTCATGGCAAAAACCCCTTTTTGCCCAATTTTCCAGTGGTCAACACCGTTTTCATTGCATTGTCACCTTTTGACAAAAAGTACCAGCAACACCAAAAACCAAAAAATCAAAAAACCAAAAATCAAAAAATACATTTCTCAAACTTTACAATTCAAACACCAAAGTTAGATTCTACTGCAGTCGAAAACCACATGTTGGCCAACTAGCTACAAGCTTGGTCTCACAGGTATCAACACCTCCGACCAGAGACATTCTACCATCAGTCTCAAGAGCTTCAAAGTACCTGCTTACTGTCTCGCTCTCCTCCAAAACCTCTTTCATCATCATCAATCCTCTTTGATTGTCCTTGATCTTCTTATTTCTTTGTCATCCGTCCTTGATCTTCCTTGATCTTCCTCAATCTTTGTCATCCGTCCTCAGTCTTCTTATTTCTTCCTCATCCGTCCTCAGTCTTCTTATTTCTTTGTCATCCGTCCTCAGTCTTCTTATTTCTTTGTCAACCGTCCTGAGTCTTCTTATTTCTTTGTCAACCGTCCTCAATCTTCCTCAATCTTTGTCACCCGTCCTCGATCTTCTTCTTTCTTCGTCAACCGTCCTCAGTCTTCTTATTTCTTCGTCGACTGTCCTCAATCTTCTAAGACCATCCTCGATCTTCTTTGATTATCCTGAATATTCTTCGACCGTCCTCAATCTACTGCAATCCTCATCCAGACACCTTCAGTCTCCATCACCAACTACACACCAACATGCCAGCGAAAATATCTGATGAAATCTTGCGACCCCTTGTGGAAGAAGCTGTGGCTAACAACTGGCCAGCACAAACAGTACGCAACACTGTTTGGCAACGGCACAACATCCGAGTATGTGTAAGAACTGTTAGAAGACGGATCAAAGAATGGGACTTGAAACAACAAGGAAATTATGATGTGGAGGTTGTAAAGGATGCAGTATTAGATAATTACAAACAATCTCTGAACCAAAAGCAAGCTCTCATTGCCCTCAAAAACGAACACAACATCATCATCAGCCGGTCAACTTTAGCTCGAGTTGAGAAGCAACTCAATCTTCACCGCCAAAAGGATGATCTTGACATGGGTGTAGTAACATATGCCACCGTATGTAACAAGATTGAAGAACTTCAGATTGAATATGGAAATGTACTTGGAATCAAGAGTATCAAGAAGATGCTAGCTCAGGAACACGAGCTTCACATCCACCGGCAAGTGTTTGGCCCTTCTTGATTCATTTCGCTCCGATGCTAATTACATTCCAAATCCTCTTTTATATAGCGATGTTATTGCGGCTATTATGAAGGCAATGGACCCAGATGCTGTCAGAATGTGAGCTGCTCATAAACTCAAGCGACGGGAATACTATGCGGGCGGTCCCAATGAGGTTTGGGCTTCCGATGGACACGACAAGTTGATGAACTTTGGAATTGGTATATATGGTTTCATTGATTGCTGGTCTCGAAAGATCTTGGGACTTCATGCTCATGTCACCAACAGCGACCCCCGCCATGTTGACTTGTGGTATCTGGGGCTTGTAAAAAAGCAAGGTGGCATTCCCAAAAAGCTCACCACGGATCGAGGAACTGAGACTGTTCCTCTTGCGGGACATCAACTTTATTTCGGAGAAACTTACGGTTCCAGAGCTCCAAACTGGCCGTATCATCAATATGTTCCATCCCCTCGTAACCAAAAGATTGAGTGCTTCTGGGACAAAATGACTTGTGGACTGACTGGAAATATCAAAGCTAAAATTCAAGAGCGCATTGATGAAGATTTATATGATCAATATGATCCAATGGCTAGGTGAAGCTCTTTTTTTTTCTTTGGTGATTCCATGCTGAAATCTTTATTGTTGCTTTTCAGGGCCTTGTTTCTCCACCTATTTATCCCCGTCTTTCAACGAGCTCTGGACAAATGGGTCAAGTTTTACAATGGTTTCTGCAGACGATACGACAAGCGGTCTAAATTACCTACGGGGTGTTCTGCAGACTACTGCTACAAAAACCCCGTTGACGAATTTGGTGGGATTGAATACCTCATACCTGTCCCAGGTGAAGCGGTGGATGCTATCCTTGCTGATGATTACCCAGAGCAAGAACACTTGTGGAGCACAACCCCTGAGTGGTTTTCCCCGGTGGTTGATCAAGTCATGGAAGAAGTTGGAATTGTGAGCAGTGATTTGGACATTGGAAATTTTTGGGGTTGTTTCGATGTTGTATTAGCAAGATTGAAAGATTTGTCTTGGAGTAACACTCCCTTTGCCCGTGTTGAAGGTCATGATTCTATGGTTTTGGAAAACTGAGTATTCTATCTCACTATTACCTGCATCTCTGTCTTGTAAACTTTGTAATGGTCAATAGTATGGATTGTTGTGAGCAAAGTAAAAACACTATGAATTTCATGTTTTCCGAAAAAGAACACCATACAAGACAGAAAAGACCTTTTCAAAGATAAAAGGGAGTTGTGGTTGGTTTGAACTACATATTCTACATATATGTTTGGTTGGAACCCTCGAGCATCTAGACATATTCTGCATAGCATGCATTCACATTGCCTATATCATGCAAGACATCCATCGGGTCCCCAGGCTTGAGGTAATCTTTAAGTTGATCCTTTGGAACTGACAATGTTATTACTTTTCTAGCCAGAGATGCTTTTTTCTTCTGTACCTGAGCGGAAAAAAAGGGTTTGCAGATGATGGTGAGTGTAACCCTTTCTGGAAGCTGATTACTTGACTCACATTGAATAGGTGCTGTTCAACAGATCCCCCTGCAACCACATGATACACCTTCACAGGGTGGGTCTGGCCTATTTGATGTAAACGGTCAATTGCCTGTTGCACAATCTGTGAATTCCAATGGGCATCCTAATGATCTTCTGTTTAGCTAATGTTCATGATAGTATATGAATAAATGATAACAAACACACCATCAGGTACACCTCGTCAGCGCATGTCATATTCAAGCCCACACCTCCAGCTTCGATAGATACTATGAAGGCCTCAATGTTGTTATTGTTCTGGAATCTGTTGAGTTGCAATATCCTCTCCTGAGGAGTCATCTCACCGTGCAAGGAGCCGCTTTCGATGCCGTGACAATCCAAACCAATCTTGATCCTGTGGGGTGTGCAGGTTAGCATACAGGACAAGTGATATAAAAGAGACAGAAAATATATTTACCACTCCATGAAACACCTCAATTGGGTATAGATGACAGTCTTCTTGCATAGACCTTTATGCAAAGGAACCTGCTTAATTTGGAGCTGGGAAACCAAGTATGCAAGCTTGCTACTCAGTGACCAGTCTTCCCGGTAGGCTGGCCTGGCAGCAGCAGTTAGTTCCCTCCCATCCGGCACCATGATTCCAAGCTCCTCCTCCATCTCTGTAATCTTGACCGAATTGAGCTCTTGTTCTTGTTTGAATAAAAGAGGGTGATTGCATGTCATCCTGAGATTGCTCAATTGTCTAAAATATTCACCCTGTTTATGTTGGATTTGAGAGTCCACACCAAAGTCCTGAATAAATCTTTTGTAATGTTGCTGATATACTGCTTTCACTTTTGGATGCATGTCCAATAAAATGGTCACATGGTAGATTGGGGGTAAATCACGTAGGTGGCTAGCTTTGGTCCGCCTCAGCATAAAGTATCTTAGTAGGTGTCCAAGTGTTTCCAGCTTTCCTTGATGGACAGGCAGAGTGATTTGACGGTACCACACAGAGTCTTGGTGAAAAGGCTTGATGTGTAGAAATTTGAAGAGCATGTGCAAGTCTCCAATTCGGTTATGGAGTGGAGTTCCAGTGAGACAGAGCCGGTTGACTGATTCCAAAGAGGTGAGTACTGCATGGGAGCTGGTTTCATTACGGATTACACTGGTACCAGTAGAGGGTCAGCTTGATAAATGTGAACTTGGCACAAAGAGAGATCACTCACTGAGCTTCATCAATGACCACTCTGTACCACCTGGTTGTAAAAGGGAGCCGTGTTGTCCCATCTTGCCGCTGGTCCCATACAAGGGTTTTGGGGGTTGTAATGATGATGTCGGCTGAGTGCATATCACGTAGAGGAATTTTAACTCTGTCTGTGCCATGCCAGCGCAAGACTTTCAAGCTGTGTTTTCTGGTGTGTTTTCGAACCTCTTCTTCCCAGTTGTCCATGAGGCTAGTGGGACATATCAAAAGTGTCGTGTGAGATGCACGGAGGTGGTGGTTTGGATGGTTGACAGCTGTTGCAGATTCCTGATGTTCGAATTGTCTTGATGCTTCCAGTGTAGTAGCAATTAAAGAAATAGCTTGAATTGTTTTTCCAAGCCACATGTCATCTGCTAGAATTGAAGCCCTAGGGCTGACTGGTCCGGTTTGTCCCTCAGTGACAATAAATTCTTCACCACAGAGACGGTGACTCCACCGGTTGAAGGGTGGCATTGATTTATAAAACCAAAGGGAGTGATAAGTTTTTGAATCCGGATTTTCTCGGTCCAACAAAAATGCCAGGCCCTGCTTTTGATGGGGGTGGAGCTGAGATGTCACTATCTGTGATGGATTGACAGGCTGAAGATCTGAGCCGCAAGAAATGGACGCAAGTCTGGAGACCTCGTCACTGGTCAACATGTGATCGGGAAATGCTGAGCTCCAGTTGGGAGTTGTCTGTGCTTCTAGATCCACCAGAGGAATAAGTTGGTGTTGCTGAGGATTGTAATGAGTAGGATGCTGGAGTTTGATCTTGAAGTTCCTGACTGTCTTGACAAGGCTTCCTTGGTACCAACTTGGGATAAATAAAAGTGCATGGACTTGCAATTGTGACGCATCATGCCCATCAAATTTGACAATAGTGGTGTTGACAGTAGAGCTGTTGAGAACTGGGTGACTGGGGTCAAAAGATGAACTAGGTTTCCATCCGCCCGCAGGTAGGGCTTTATATATCCGAGGTGTGCTTCCAAGCAGCTTCAAGAAACAACTATCAACACCTGCAGGGACATACCCCACAGAAAGACCAGTTGGAAGATATAAACTGATCTCTGGTGTGCTGTGGGTATCCGCAGAAACTTTCAAGAACACAGGTGACTGATGGGGATGTTTCAGTTTTGCCGCAGTGGAAGTGGGTGACGCCACGTTGAAAGATATCATCCCAGCACATACTGGTTGGCTTAGATTTTGTTGAGGTGTGACAAACATGATTAGAAAAATGAGATGAAGTAGATGAAAAATGGATGAATGAAATGAGGAACAATATACTTTGGGTGCATGAAGCACCCTTTATATCAGCTCAAATTTGCTGTGCGGATTTACACATTTTATAAAACATTCATGGATCTCGCAGATCCACGCACAAGCTTTTCACAATTTACCAAACATTCTTGGAGCTTGCAGATCCACGCACAAGCTCCTGAGATTGATGCAAATCCCATGTCACATGTTCCATCACAGGTGAGGGGGCATAGTGGCCACTCAACCCAAAAAATTGTCAAACACACCATAGTCAAAGGGTTCCATAATATATTTATGGGTGTTTTTCCATTAACAAAATAATACAAAAATGGTGTATATTACATATACTACCAAAAAATGCTTGCAATCACATTTTGATGCAAATCTTCCAGAATATACTTTTTATTTAACATTACATACAATTGATTCAATATGTGGTTTTTTTTTTCTTCAACCAAACCCAAACATCTTGAACAATCCTATCAAACTTGTAGTAATTGAACCATTGCAATCAAAATTTTGTATATGTATATTTAAGTTTGAAGGTGGAAAAAAAATTCAGTTCCTGATTACGGAATGCGAGACGTTCCAAAGTGACAATGCGAAATTTCAAAAATCAAAAATCACAATTCCCGGGTGCGAAATTCAAAAATCAAAGACAAAACTACAGAAAATACTCAAATACAGGGATAAAACCCCTGTACTGGAGTAAAAATCAAGGCAGAAACCCCTTTTTGCCCAAATTTCCAGTGGTCAACACCGTTTTCATTGCATTGTCACCTTTTGACAAAAAGTACCAGCAACACCAAAAATCAAAAAATCAAAAAACCAAAAATCAAAAATCAAAATCAAAAACCATAAAATACATTTCTGAAACTGTAACATTCAAACAACAATGTTAGATTCTACCACAGCCAAAAACCACATGTTGGCCAGCCAGCTACAAGCTCAGTCTCACAGGTATCAACACCTCCGACCGGAGACATTCTACCTTCTGTATAAAGAGCTTCAAAGTACCTTCCTGTCTCGCTCTCCTCCAAAACCTCTTTCATCATCATCAATCTTCTTTGATTGTCCTTGATCTTCTTCAATCTTTGTCAACTGTCCTCGATCTTCTTCAATCTTGGTCAACTGTCCTCAATCTTCTTCTTTCTTCTTCGATTGTCCTCAATCTTCTTCAGTCTTCTTAGATTGTCCTTGATATTCTTTAATCTTTGTCATCTGTCCTTGATCTGCTTCTTTCTTTGTCAACTGTCCTCGATCTTCTTCTTTCTTCATCAACCGTCCTCAATCTTCTTTTTTCATAGTTTCCACTCATCAAACTGGACCAACTAAAGACAGGATTTTAATCTGCTAAAATCTTCTCCAAACCTCTTCTAATGTTTTCAACGGTCTTCAATTGTCTTCAACCTTCATCAATTGTCTTCAACCTTCATCAATTGTCCTCAATCTTTGTCAATTGTCCTCAATCTTTGTCGATTGTCATCAATCTTCATCAACCATTGTCAACCATTGTCAATCTTCATCACTATTCTTTGATTGTCCTCCATCTTCATCACTATTCTTTGATCATCCTCAATCTTCTTCACTATTCTTCAAGTGTCCTCAATCTTAATTAATACTAGCCAATTGGGCGGCAGGCACCGCCATGTCAAGCTCTGAAAACAAAGTTGCTTTTAGCTGTTTCCAATCCGATCCAAGCTGACTGATGTGAGCAATAATGCATGATCCTTCAAAGCCAAGCATACCAACATCAGGGGTTTCATATTCCCAAAAGCCGTAGCACACTATTGAGCATGATCATGTCAATTTTGTCATTTGAAACATACTATTGAGCCTATGTGGTTTGAAGCCTTTGATCATCATAAAATTTATATGGCAAAAATCAATTATCCCAAAAAAGCAACATATTATCCCAATTAGGACAGTGTTTAATCCTGGCAGTGAGAAGTTGTTGAAGGTTTCCTACCTTTGACAATTGTAATTAGGTTGATATGGTGATGATGATAATATCACACCAATCAAAGCAGTGTTTATTTGAGATCAAACCAAGTGATGAACAATATCCTTTCTCATCAAGGGCAAACTGAGTCCTTGAAGCGGGGAAGCCTAGGTTCACACATAAATTTCTTAAGTCTGCAAGTTTTGTGCAAGTTCTATGCAAGATGTTTGAAAGAACTTGCACAGAACTTTCTTGCAACTTGCAAATTTCTTGCGCATGTTTGAACACCATAACTTTACAAAACCAAAATTGAATCCCAAAACATTTGCAGAAACACTTTTCAGAATACTTCCCTCATGACTCACTATATAAGGATAAGCTTTACAACGGGTCATCATAACCCATACCCATATCACTTATTATTCACTCCAAACTGATCAGAACAATCTCAAAGCCTTCACTATAATTTACTCAACTCAAGCTGAATGCCCAAAAAAATTGCATGGTATCCTCTGCAAGCTCATTTCGATGGTGTGTCAGGAAAAGAATCATGACCATTTGATTCTAAAAAATCTGAACAAGATTGAGTCCTCAACTGTTACATTATTTACGATTTCCAGCTATTTCAAGATATAAAAAAGTTTATGAGATGAAGAAAAAAACAATACAAATTAACGTATGACAACTTTTTCAGATAAAAGAAAAAAACAAGATCAAGTTTGAGAATAAAAGTGATTCATAGTGACTTTAACAGCTTGATTAGAAATATTAAAGATTGGATGAATAGATTCAATAAGATTCTCATTTAAACCAATCACCAATTGGTTTTCTTTAACATTTATCCAAGCTAATGAATTTAAATAAATCTTTTTCATTCTTTCGATTCCAATTTGATCAGTTTCATTTAAACCTTTAATTCCATTCTTCATCACGAGTTCAGAATTAAACTTTCATTCAAGATCTTGTAATTTATCGAAAGAGAATTGATGAAAATGTTGAGAAGATGATAAACCAGAAAGTACATAATGTGCATGATAAATATCGACTTCCATAAATGGTTTGTCTCGTAGTCCTCCTTTTCCTTCTGGTATGGGTTGACCTTGAGAAGCTAAAAGTACATATTCTTGTAATCCTTGACAATTGTATGATGAATTGGAAAACTCGAATACATCTTTTTTGTCTTCAATTTTGAATTGATTGATTTCTTCTTGGATTAAATTCTCAATCACAGGGAATAGACCACCACACCACCAAGCATAACAACCATCTACTAATTTATTACTTCTACCTCTAAACCCACCACCTTTGATTGGTAATCCTTGCATACTTGTTAACCAACACCAACAAGCTTTGTAATCGATCGAGGTGATTGGAATCAAATTTGATAAGCTTTTCAAAAGGAAATGTGAAAGTACACCACAAGAAGTATAACCACCATGAGATTCACCAAGAGGAACGGATGAGAGTGGTTGGCTGTTTGAGATGGCTTTGAGTGTTGCTGATCCAGAACTAAAACCACCTTCATAAGTTTGACTATCAGCAATAAAATCAGGTAAACCGATGGCTAATTCAGGTGTTAAGAAATTAAGTAAAGTTGAAACGATCAATACACAATAACAACTTCTAACATATGATTCTCCATTCTTTTGCATAAGAAAACTACCATTAGATTGTTTGAGAGTTAAGATCCATTCATACATTCCATCTCGATTGACTTTTGACCAAGTTCGTTGAACAAGATCAGCTTTGGATTTAGCTAGTAAGGATGGTAAAGCTAATGTACAAGCAAAGGTAGAAGCTAGATGAGCACTTTGTCCTGGACCTCCACCAAAACCACCATTAGGATCTTGGAATGATAAAATAGTATCAACTAAAGCTTTATGTTTGGTTTCTTCAAAAGGCACATTGAGCATCAACACGGAATTCAAAATCCAAAATGTTAACCAAGATCTACTTGAATCTAATGCAGCAAAAGGAGTAGGTATCTCTTTAAGAGTAGATTTAATGAATTCAACATGAGCATCTTTTGCTCTACCCACCCACCTGACAGGCCCAGAGTGTCAACCGCAAGATGAATCCTGCTGTGCAAAAACCATCTAAGCGCTTTAACAAAATACAAAAATAAAACACTTACATCTCTCATGCTCTAGTTTCAAGAGTACAATAA